ACCTATTGTGAATTAAAGAAATTATCAAAACATAAAGCGATGAGTCATTGTCAATAAGCTTAGTACTTTGCAAGACCGCGGTTTGTGGAATAATTCCATTAGACAAAAATTACAAGAATGGACGGAGTTGTGGAATTAAGTCATTTATGGATAGGAAATGTAAGTAAACCAATTTTTATTTATTTGCAAAATAAAATATATATGTTTATTTTTACAACGTTCGTGTCGTATATAGTACAGAAATTCATTAGAATTCGTTGAACCACAAAAAAAAAAGATAGAATAATGTAAAATTTTTTTAAGATAAATAAATATCTACTTATGTATATAAGACGCATATATATTTTATATGACAAATTTGAGGCATATTAACAACTGAATTGTGGCAACCGATTCCCTCCTATCGATTTCCACATTTGCCCCATCTTCTTGAGGTTTATTAATATATTGTCCAAATAAAAATTGTCTGATGAAAAATTTTTTGAATTGTTTACGCATATTTTAGACCTATATATATATACATATATAGACCTATATATATAAATTTCTACAATTTGGAAACATTTCATTCATTATATTTATATACTTCATCCTTAATTTTCAGCTTAAACCCTTCATGTCAAAAGAATATCTACAAGAGTTATTTACTGGTATGGGTTTCCCGTTACTTGATGTGGTTGTTATAACAAACAGAGTACTCGGCGAGCCACTTTATGGTTTCCTTCAATTCAAAACTGTGAAGGATGCTCAAACTATTTTGTACGAATATGATAACAAGCCAATTCCTGGCGTTAAACCAGTAACTAAATTTTTCTTGAATGTTTGTGGCAGTGTTGTAGAAGATCGAAGACCATATTTTGGAATATGGATGGGTAATCTTAGAAGTGAAATTAAAGAATGCGATATAGAAGAGCTATTTGTCGAAAAACAACTAAATTTAAAGCGCTTTTATTTAGTAAAGAATAATTGTGGTATATCAAAATGTTACGGCTTTGCTGAATTTGATAATCAACAAGATAAGCAGCAAGCTATTAGTGTCATAAAAGGTTACATTGGATTTGGTCGAGATGGCATGCCTTTAGTTATACGTAACGCGGCAGGGGCAATGCAACAAGTATCTTCTCAACCAAATATAACATTTTTCACTTTACGATTAAGAAATGTTTTGGGACGAACAAAGGAACAAGACCTGGATGATTTCTTCTCTAAGAGGTTTGCTTCATACGTAGGCGCAAAATTACCGCGTTCGGAGCATAATACTCCAAAAGAATTGGCTTTTATACGTTTTAAAGATAAAAGCGATTTAAACGCTGCTTATCAAATGTTAAAGGAAACTCCACGATTTGGTAATAAAAACGGACTAAAGCTCAAAATAGTAGACAACACGCCAATGGAACTGCAAACTAATAAGTTAACATTAAAAAGTCAAGAAAAAGGAATACAAATTTTAATAAAAGAATTGAAAAAAGTTCTTGCTGAGGAAGAAGTTGAAGAGAAAGGTAGTGATAAAGAATAGTATTTTACTGACAACACTCCAAACTAAATAATAATTTAACACAAAAGTTATATATTAAATAACATGTGATATAAATATAAAAGACAAGCTCCAATAATTAATATAATATAATAATTAAATGTTTTAATGACCAAAAGAAATTTTTTTTTAAAAATAATTATTTCACGGGCTAATCGGTCAGTTATTAAATAAATTTTATTATTTAGTTTTATAAGATTTTTATTGTCCAATATTTCGACTATAAAAATCTTATAAAACTAAATAATAAAATTTATTTAATAACTGACCAATTAGCCCATGAAATAATTATTTTTAAAAAAAAATATAATATAATTAAAATATACTCTAATAATAAAAATAATAAATATATCAAACGTAGAAGATAAGCGCCAATTATAAATATACACGACCGTACTCTACAACTGCCGACTGCTGACTTCACACTACTGCCATTACTGCTTGACTATAAAACTGCTTGACCGGCCTTTACTTGACTGCTCAACTTAACCACTGCTACTGCTGGACTCTCATATATAACTTACATAAATATTGTAAACACTAATGAATTAGTTGATAGCGCTAATTGAATCATTTTTCTTTAATATTTATCCTACTCAAATACTAAAATATCAATAAAATAATATAACATAACGTTTTTGAAAACTTAAGTACATTTATTTAAATTCAACAGAGTTAATTTTTATTTCATATAATTTTCAATTAACAATTATTAAATAATTTTCAACAAATATAATATGAGTGTCATAGGAGATAAAAAAAACTTGTCTTGAGAATTAAGACCAGTATATCCAATTTTGATACTCATTTTTATATGCTTAAAAAATTATATATATATATTGCTTTCACACTCTTAAGATTAGAAACCTCAGGATAAGAGAGCGTGTTTATCAAAATCCTCTGAGTTTGCAACAGTACTCTCTAATAAACATATTTGGGGTGTTGTAATTAGCAAGCGTCATATTTAAATAATAACAGAGAATTATTGGAAGTATATAGTGTTATTTTTGTTTGAAAACCATTTAATCAACTTAAATTGGTATTTGATGTATATCACACTTAGATACTTAAGTAAACTTAATCGATATTATTTTTTCATTTAATGTAATATTAAAAATAAGTAATAATAGTCTGATTTAAAAAAAATAGTCCAGAATCGATTCTAGATTGTTATGGATTTTAACACTCAAGAACTGCAAGTAAAATCAGTTTTGAGCTTTGTCGTGCTATTATAGGTTATGGAAAATTAGAGAAATATTTATTTAAAAGCAATTTTATGTTTGTACCATTAAATACAAGTTATATAAATTATTTTTACCATCCTTAAATAATGTAACGATTAATCTTGCTTTATTCAATGCTTGGACTCAATTTATTATAGTAATCTGAATTGAGACATGTAGTTTCTAGAGAGACCTCTACGGCATTCTTGTTTCTCTAATTATATATTATGACATGTTCCACGAGTATATACAATTATAAATTGATGTTATGTCTAAGCACTTCAGCTATATACAAAAAAATTCAAGTTTTTCCTACTCCTTGCCATGTATCTAAGCTCGTTAAAGGATTTGAATGTTTCGGTGAATATTGTTCGCCTCCATATTATCTATGGATGTCCTCTTCTACTTGATTCAATCGGGTTTGATTATAAGGCTGCAGTAACGACCGAGCCAACCATATTGTTTTTTTTTTGATATGATTCAGTATATCAATTTGGCATTACTGATGATATGTGGCTAGCAAATATGTAAAATGCGCCGTAAACATCGGTTTAAAAATGATTGCATTTTGTTAATGACGTTGTTTGTTATATACCATGTTTCAAACCCATATAATAAGATGATATTTATACAGGCGTTGGAAATTTTAACTTTAGTTGCCTGGAAGATGTTGGCGGCTCTCCAAACTCTAGTTAATGAGGCGTAGGTACGCTTCGCTTTTTGAAGGCGATTATACACATCTAACAAAGTGCCACCCTCGAAGATAAGCGTACTTTCCAGTTACTCAAAATCGTCAACATCATCAATATCACAATCATAAACGTTAAAGGCAGTTCAATTTTGACTGCAGACACTTATAGCTTTTGATTTTGACGTATTAATTTTAAGAACGGCCTTCAAAGAGACGTTTATTAGTGAGATAAGCATACTATGTTTTTCACTCTGATTGGAAAAATTCAACACAACATCATCGGCATATATCAAGTGGTTTAGCTTTTCATATAATTTAGACTGTATGATGTCCGTGAAGTTCAGCCTTGTTAAAGATCATTATCTAGTGTCGTTCTGAACAGCAGTGGGGAGAGAGCACAACTTTGTTTAATCTCTGATACTGTTGAAAAAGTTTCTTCAATTATATGCATTAAATAATTGTATCACTTAGTTTTAATATGGCTTATAGTGAATAGTGATATCTGTAAATGTTAACGATTAAACATAGATAATGGTAAGATGAGATGAAATGGAAGACAACAAAATATATTCATTAACTGATATTGAAATCAGTCAATGTTTTATACAGTCTAATGGAAAAAGAACAAAAATTGACTCGTCGAAATAGAGATTAAAAAAAGTACTAGATTTTTATTAAGAATCTGAACAAATGATTCTATGAATAACATGTAGAAAACTGGAGAGGAACGATAAATTTTTTTTAATTAAATACTAAAAATGCTATTTCCAAAGCTTTCATTTTACTAAAAGCCATCCATGATTAATGCTTATTAATTCAAATTTTGTTTTAATTTAACACATATTTGCTTCTGAAGATCCTTTTCGTTTGTTTTGTATTTTAATCCTTAATGCGTACCCATTTATTCAGATATCAATTCATAAGAACAAACCTCAAAAAGCATTGAGAATAAATGCATTCAAGTATGAAAACTGCATATATGCAAATATTTAATAATAAAAAGAAAATTTAACCACAAATGCTTAGACTTTCCTGTAGTTCGAAATAGAAAGGAAAGTGATTTTTAAAAATGGTTAAGAACTGCACTACTAAACATTTAAATTGGCAAAATCCTTGACATGCATTTAGATGTATTCAAATGTTAAAGCAAACGAAGGAATTTACTTAAGTAAATATGCACTTTAGAATTTTCCAAGCCAGAAGATGGAATATTAATTAAATGCAATGCATGTAAAACGAGTTAAATGAAATAGCACATGAGCATGCAAGAATATCGCAGTGAAAATATAAAGTATATTATTGGAGTACATATATTCAAAAAATTTTTTTAAAATTAAATTAAAATAATAATTTTACTTTTAACACAATGCCTTGTAAACAAAAATCAGAGATTCATACATTCACGTAGAGTGTATAAGGGTGTAATCATTCTCAGCTTCATGACTATATATTGTAATAATACTTCTGTCTGCATAAAAATTAACTCCTTTATACGTTTTGAGGAATTCGAATGATATATAATATACATAATTATCTGGAGATTATTTAAAATATTCATATAAATCAATAATTATTGTTGACTATATTATACTTATGAGATAGAATAAGATACACATAAGAAAGTGAAAGTCGATAGGCCATACGTTTAGACAACCGAGAGATTACATAGCGAGTCAAGCATTAGCATGGAATCCATAAGATAGCAAAAGACCTGGTGTGCCAGCGATAATGTAGAGAAAAACGGTAGAGACTGAGTTCGCTGAAGCACGATATACATGAATTGATATCTACAAATAAACATCAAATAAATTCAGTTTTAGAAATATTATTAAGGCTCTATGCTCCACTAGCGGAAGTGGACAATAGTAGTATATTATACTTATGTATATTATGTATAATATATACGTTATATGTAAATTATATGCATATTATATATACTATATGCATATTATTTATATGAACAATAAAAAACGAAATAATGGTTATTTGTTTTTTCAGTTTTTAAAGCAAATTAGTGGTCAGCAAGAATAGTGGTGAAGGTGGATGTTACGTCACATTGTAGTAGCACCCATCTATTCCAAATCGGACTTGGACTCAAATAGTGATCCATTGTGCTACCATGAATTAGCGTTGTTCATCAATTGTCATTATACCCTGGCCAAAAGAAATTCCAAAAGAAAGATAACATTGAAAGGCACAACTCCACTATTTAAGTGAATGTGAACCGATGTGAACTTGGCAAAATCCCTAATTTGGATAACAGTTCATTTAAGACAGTAATAAAACCTGCCTTAAAGATTTTTGATTTTCTATTTGTCAAACATAGGCTTTGATAAAGAAAATGAAAAACGTATTGCTCCTCATCATCAGAGGCACAACCACAACAAATGTTATTAAAAGGTACACCCAATCTCATAGCATGACTTCCTAGTATACAGTGACCTGTCAGCACCCATACCATAGTGCTGAGGAGGTGTTTCTTTAGTAAAAGCAACTAACTGGTATAATTTCTGATCAAAACTTGAAATCTTGAAGTAATGGATATTTTTCAAGAAGTTTTTGATGATTTAATGGTACATAGCTGGTAATAGATCGGCCATAATTTAACGGATATATCGTCTATATAAACATAATTTTTTGTATAATACTACAGAGAAAACGTCTAGTGGTGACATACTACATGATCGGTTTGTGTTATATCTTCGTCTTTACGACTCCACAGTTCAACGCACTACGAAAATCGAATATCCTTCAGTAATAAGGTTCATTTTCAATGAAATACAAATAATGCTCTTACAAAATACTTATCTATGGATTTTCATTATGCCGGAAGCGACAATTTTAAGAGTTTACATATATATCAAGCGAAAATAGACCTCATTACTTTAGAAAAATCAACCTTTCTAATGCACGAAATATATCCTCAGCAGAATCATTATTTTTTTAATAAGTTTTCACAATTTCATGAAATGGAAAATAATTAGGCTTTATTAATATTTAAAGAAATATATACTGGGTTGAATAATTATCTAGGTGTTTTTTCCTATCTAAGCTAAAACTTTCTTTCCTATGTTAATAACCCAACTAATTCAGCTGTCAAAACTTCTTTTTTATTTTTTTTAATGCTATCATTTCATTTCATTTTTCCTACTTCC